GCATAAGGCCAAAAAAAGAAAAGAAAAAGAAAAAAGGGCAAAGCAAATATGAGAGAAACCGACGAACGAGCGACAGAGAGAACCGTCGGCGGTGGAAACAAAAGAGAGAGAGAGAGAATCGTCGGTGATGGCCACCCCTTCTTCCAACCTCACCATTGCTAACTTTAACCCTCCACCTCGTCGACCACTGTCAGTCACTCCCCTTTTTCGCCGCCTCCCTTCTCTCCTCCTCCTCCTCCTCATTTTCTTTTTCTTCCACCAAACCCTAAATCTACCGGAGCCATCTCCGATGCCTGTCTCTTCCTCCTACTTCTCCTCTCCCTTTTTCAATCATCTGTCAACCTATCAATCTCATCTTCTCTCCCATTATTTCCATCTCCCCTCCCTTTCTGCACCATATACAAACCCTAATTGCAATGCCTCTACATTTTTTGCAATCATCGTCGTTGACCTCTACTACAAACCCTTCACTACAAATGGCACATCAGAGATGGCTCCGTTAGCTGAGTTGGTTTCTAGAATCTGGGTTTTCAAATCTAGGATCATAGAGTGGTGGTGAGCGATGATGGCAGTAGTAGTGGGTTTGCGATTTGTGTTTACAAAAATAGGGGTTAGGGTTTTGGAAAAAGAAGAAGAATAAAAGACGAGAAGGATGAGGAGGAGAAGATAAGGGGTGGTGGTGACGATGGACGACATGAGAAAGAAAGAAGAAAGAAGAAAGAAGAATTGGTCATCCGTGACAATTTTTGAATAATGACTGTTGACAACTTTTCAAAGATCATTTTCGATGACTCCTCCAACTCTCTTCTAGTGACCTACTTTAGCCACCATATCTAGCAACTCTTCTCACCATCACACTACCACCACCAAAAGAAGCCTCGACGCCACCACCACCACCACCCAACAAATCATAAAAAAATCTTTAAAAAACAAGCACAAACAAATTTTACTATCAAAGTTAAACGTTAGTGTAGTATAAATTCACCACGTTACTATTTAAATAATAAAATTTCAGCATCATTATCACACCACAATTATGAATTTTTCCATTATTAATAGGAATATTAAACTAGAAACTTATCAAAAAAATGAAATGATAGCATTATTTCACTGTGTTAACCTTAGCTTAAATAGTTTAATTTTACTGTCTACTGTTGAACAATTAAAAAATCAAAATTTATTATCCAAGTTAAAACACCAAAACAACTTTTTTGTTTGAGATCCTAATCTCAATATTCCAAATAATAATAATAATAATAATTTCTTTGAGGTTAAATGCACCATACATGCTTGTACATGATCTTCTGAAGAGCTCACCTCATCAAATCATTGTGTTAAATAGCCATTGGGACCAACACTTCCTTCATCTTGTTAGTTTTGAGTATGTTATCTAAGGATACCCATAAGAAAAGGAATAACGTAGAGTAGAATAAACAACTAAGGCCATGTTTGTTTAGGTAGACATAAGCGTGGGATTGGACTAATAGTCCGATAAAATTATTAATCCGAAATTTGGTTAAACAATTGAAATACAGACCAACAATCCATCCGGATATAGTATCCAACAATGGTTAGTGTTCTAAAGTAGGAGGCTGGGACTCACAGTTGCTGGTATCAAAGCAACAGAGATGGGTCCTTATTGTGCACCCAGCACAACAGGCACTGTTATATAGTTAAATGGGCTCATTTCGGCGTCCGTTTTGATGATCCAAACCATTCATATTTTAGAGTAAAAGTAGAACACACCTGTAAAAAATTAAGTTGATCGGATATCGTTAACTATTTCATCGAATAACATTTGTATCTAAAATAAATAAATGATAATTATGATTTGAAGTATAAAAATGAATAAAAAATTTGAGTAGATGAAAGGGTAACAACATACAATTAATTTGATTTTTTGTAAGTATGTTATACTCGATGTGTTCTAAAATATAAATGATTTCGATCATCAAAACGAGACCTAAAATGAGCCCATTTAGCTGCCCAACACATCAAAGACCCCAAAGGAAAGTACTTTAAAAAACATTGCAATGACTTGCAAGATAGGCTGCAATTTTGATAACCCCAAGACGATTTCTACACATTGGTGGACAGTAATGGCTCGAGCACTAAATATCAAAATGAGATTTTATCTTATTGAATTTTTAAAAATTAAAACTTTTATTAATAAGAACTTTTATAAAGAAAAAATTTCGTAAGTTAAACCACCTCTAATGATGATTTCATACTAATACCATGAAATATTTTCAAAAGACAATGTTGGCCTTAGCTGCCCCCGCACATTATGGCTAGGAAAGTGCTAGTGTGTAAGTTTCTATGTTCCTAGCATGGTCGTTTGTTGACTAAAAAGGAACAATAAACAAATAAAAGATTATACATGAGAGTACCCTTTAGATCATCACACTAGCAACAGTTTTGCACAATGCACAAAAATCACAAAAACAAAATGAGAAAAATGATATTCAAGTCGAATTTGCAAGTTGACTTATGAGACCAACTCATGTGAAGCCATTACAAATTTTGAAGTTAGCCTTTTGTTGGTTTTTTTGACTTTTGAAGGTTAATTATGTAATTTTAAGCGTGCCAGTAAGGATCAATAAATCTGTATAGAATTTATAATTGCCAATCAATTATCAGACAATTGTGTTGAAGTTCTTTCAGTCTCAATGAACGAGACTTTTACTGGTGGCTTGTTTTAGAAGAAATTTATAAGCAATAACGAGTACATAAATATTTAGAAACTGAATTTCATTAAGTAAACATAAACTTACAATGTAAAGACTCAATCTTGAAAAGGTTTACAATAACGACTATTTGAAACTACTCTTATGAAATGAAGTGCAGTACAGGAATTGAAATACTGAAAATGTAAAGAACTGGAATATAAAACTGGAAAGAAAATATGAAGCAAACGACTGGTTTCTAAATCTGAGTCTAGGTCCCCTTTGTTTAGCCTTCTTTGCTATTTATACTTTTTAGTGGTAACAGTTGAAGTAACCTTCTAACCGTTGAAATACTTCAACGATCTCTGATCATAGCTTCGCTCAACTAGCTCCCACTACGCCTCTTTTGCAGTTAGACTTCCCTTTTGAATTTGAATTGTAGGTAATTGTTAGGCTACAACATCTCGCACCTCTTGACTATTCCAATGCCACGCAGATCCAACATTACCAATATGAACTGTCAGGTGTCTGTCTTTAATTGAAGACTTACATTAATTCTCCAAATTGCCCTTTAGGTGCCACGTGCTATTCTGCGATTAGCTTTTACAAATTATACAACCAACAACTTTCGTGAATAGATAGTTGCATCTTTTCATTTATTTATTTCATTTTCTCCTCTTCTCTATTTGTTTCTCAATTTGAACTTCCTCAACTTGCTGTTCTCTCCTGCTCTATTATCCCTTTGTCTTCATGAAACACACTCAAAACAAAATGTCTGCACTGTAAAATAATTTCTGAGATAAGAGGGGCAAGATTATTACAATAACAAATAGTCTATACTTGGATTTTGAAACCCTACAATCTTGAGACATTGCAGAACTCACACAGAAGAGTTCCATTTGAAGATAGGTATGTTGGAAATCAGCAGGTCATTAATTGTAATTTTAGGGCCTAAATATTTCTTATCATAACAAATCAATCTGCAATGCTAGAAGCTTTATCAACACCAAATTAATGACCGCAGAGGAATTTAACAAATTTGTGTGATTGTAGTTGAAAGGGTGATTTGCGACGAGTCCAAACTGTTGTGGATGAAGGGAGAGAAAAACAGATAGGCAAGATGGAAATAGAACATGAGAGACAAAGGAAGACTCCTCTCAGCCACATCAATCAGTTTTATTTTTTAACAATATCTATTTTATGCCTAAATTATTTAATTTTAAATTAATTTTACCTTGTCGTTAGCTGCCGTTTATAATTAAACGGAAGTTGCTAACGCGGCATAAATAATTTGTTTGGAATTTTATTTTACCCCAAACTATTTCCAAAATATCAATTAAACCCCAAACTTCATTTTATTCAGATCTCTAATTGATATTTTGAAAATAATTTGGAGGGTAAAATAAAATTTTAATTGAAGTTTGGGTGCCACATCAACAATTCCTGTTTAATTATAGGCGGCAATTGACCGTGTGTGTAAAGTTGAAGCGACATCGAATAGTTTATCTATAAAATTGATATTATTATAAGAACATGGATTGAATTGATTTTTGAGTGACAGTCTAAGGGGCAAAATGATATTTTCTCCCAAAAAAAAGAAAAAGTCCCTGCAGTCATTTTGAAGGATCACAATCCCTTGTAGGGGGGACTAAGTTTCAGCTAGGCTCTTAAAAGGTTGGCAATTCCGGCACCGCTGAGGCCGCAAAATGGTGTTTCAAACAGAATCTGGTTCCTCTGCATCTGGACAGCTAGGCAGCTCGTCAATACTCAATAGTTGGTTACACGATTGTACTGCTTTGCCAAAAGAAAAATGTTCCTAAAGAAGAATGTTCCTGACCGTTTCCATTCTACGAATATGAATGAAATAGCCAACCTAAAGTAGAGATTCAATAAGCAACTAGAAGGGGTTCAAATAAGGTGATTCCTAGTCAATGAAGATTAGACGTGACGCCTGAGTTTGAGTCTTTTATCACTACGCAATGCACTACGTAATGCAACTCATAACATAACAATCCACAAAAGCAAGGGAGATATCAAGGTGTTTCAAGCCATGTTTAATGCAAGTTTCCTTTCCTACTGATTGAAAAAACAAATAAATAATAAGTTTGATAATTGCCCAAATGCAGGAAAGCCTAACATAACAATCCACAAAAGCAAGGGAGATATCAAGGTGTTTCAAGCCATGTTTCGAAAGCAATTCCTTTCCTACTGATTGAAAAAACAAATAAATAATAAGTTTGATAATTGCCCAAATGCAGGAAAGCCTAACATAACAGTCCACAAAAGCAAGGGAGATATCAAGGTGTTTCAAGCCAAGTTTCGAAAGCACATTCATGAGGAAAATTAATGTACCACATACCTTTATTACGTGGCTTTGGCTCAGGATCAATTCGAACGTCATTTATACATGACAATAGCGTGAAATCCAAGGGAATGGACAAACAATGAAATGATGAACCCGGTAACTGCTAAAATAGATACAAATTACATGACACTAATTTGTTTTGTTTTGGTGACTAATCATTTACAACATCTTTAATACAGTCATAACCCCCATCATAAAAGTAACCCACCACCCAAAATATTCAAGAAAGAGGAAAGAAAAAGAGCGTACAACTTTAAATGCAAAAAAGGCTCCTATGCTTTTCTCTGGCAACAATGTAAGTAGTTCTTCCGCTTCCAGGATAAATTCTCCCGTTTGTGCTTCAAAAAAACAAGCAAGTTAATGAATCATTGCCCTGATGAGCTGTGTCTAATTTGTAAATGTTTTTTATTTCATGTTTTCCTCTTAAAGCTGTGTTTGGATTTAGGAAGGGATTTGTCAAGGGAAAAGAAAAGGGAAGGAAAATGTGAAAAAAGAAGAAGCTTATATCTCATTTACATTTCACTTCCCTTTCCTTTCCTCCTACACAAATCCCTCTCTAAATCCAAGATCCGAACACAGCCTAAATGCATAAACTAGACAAAATTTCCCCACTTAATAAATAAATAAAGGTGGAACCTCAGGTTGTCTTCTGTTTCTCATCTTGTAGCCCTACGCCCTACAAGTTCACTGGAGGGCTTCCCTGAGTTTGGCAACAAGAAGAAAGAAATCAGTAAAACAAGCATAGAAGTCATTTCACAAAAAATAGGATAGTCCCTATATGCAAATTGGCTTTTACAAAAACTAATTTCGGTTGAGTTTTTCAGAAGTTTTAAAACTGATCTGACCTTAAACAAAAGATCGGAAGCAATGTGCTCCCATGGTAATGATACAGACATTAAGCAGCACTTCAGAGGCATCATCTCTTCATCAGGACCTCGGGTGGCAGCAGCAGCTGCATAGGCATGCTTTGCTGCCACAGATGCAGCATTTGCTGCTCTACGAACAATTGTAGCAAATCCACTCTTAGATGTAGGTGAAGAAGGGCCTGAAACCTGCTTGCTTTGATCTGATGCAGTAAAGCCAAGGTTCGGAAGATGACAATCCAGAAAACACAAAATTTATAGCATCAATCTTACATAAAGCATCTAAAACAATCTTACATAAGATTTTCATATAGTACTACTTCACAATGAATCAGAACACCAGAAATAAATGTCTTCACTGTAGGAAGGAAAGATTTAAAATGTAAACCAGTCCAGAGATTGTGGAAGAATTGTAAAGAGAAAAAGAACAGAGGAGGAGTATTCAACCATCTAGAGTGCTGATAAATGAAAAAAAACTTTTAGATTATGTACTAAAAGATGTAAGTATATAAATTAAAGTGCAAAAATGATCAATAGATAGAAAGGAATCAATAAAAAGTAGCCACCGTGTTCCATATTAATACAAGGTATATATACACAAAATTCATTATTTCCTCTATTTTCTATTCACAAAGTACTCAACCAAGGAAATGATCATGGACCAACTGTTAAGTAACCAATTTTCCCAAATGCTTAAGCTATTAGGACATGAGCCCAGCAATATATATTATCAAGCTATTCAACACCCTCCCTCATGTGCAACCGCATCTTGCACGTGGACAGACAAAGAGAGAACCAAATAGAAGGAGAAGCAAACAACCAATCTGAGAAGAAGAAACCAAACGGCAACAGAATACCAAATGCCAACAGAGAGATTGAACCCAAGACCTCTCTCAGCCAAAGCTAAAATATAATGTTAAGTCACAATTTTCCCAAAAGCTTAAGCTATTAAGAAATGGGCACAACACAACAATGTATATCAAGCTATTCAACACCAACAACCTCTAGTTCTTACATAGTAATCATACTGTTAGACTGTCCTAGCAGTCATCACTCTAAAATGAGAAAAACTGACTAACCTCTGAAATGAAACGTTAGCAGGAGGGTTCAACAAATATTCACACACAAAAAGTACTTAATGAACGAAATGATCATTGACCAACAACTACTTCTTAGATACTAATCTTACTAGTGGATTGTGTCCTAGCAGTCTTGAAACCCAGTAGATTTCTGTTGCAACAGAAATGGCAGAAAACTCTGCCAACATGATCCATGAAGTACAAAATGAATAGTAAAAGATAAGCAATGTCACCAAAAGTTCAGTAATAAAAGATTAAGTACTACAAATTTAAACCGTAAAACCAACTGGAGGTGGGATTCGCTATATTTATTGAATAAGAATGTAAGTTCAATAAATAATTTTAACTTAAATTCCAATGTCACAATAGGTGCCAAAAGAGTCAACATTCAGGCCAAAGCTTCATTATTCATCATCGAATATGAATCAATTCATATTCATGTAATCATGTCTAGTGACAACATCACCACCATTCATAATTAAGGGGGAGAAGAAAAGACCCTCTAATATGCTTTATGTACTCCCTCAAGGTTTGTGTCAGGTGGGGGGAATAAGATGAAGGGACCTGCATAATAAGAAAAAAGTTTGTTAATTACCTAATACACCGGAAACAGCAACTTCAACCTCCCCACGTCCACCAGGGCCTTTCATGTAAATTCTGTCGGCTTTCTCAGGGGAATGTCCAAGTGACAGGAAACTCCCAAATCCAGACTTCCCAGCTGTAATGGGGGGAGAGAGATAAGCACAGATAAAGAAAGAATAATGCTGATATACTATACAGAACATTTCAGCACAATACACAATCCATAAATGCTAACTAAATCAAACTCCTGAAAAGAAAAGTCATAACTAGTATTTTCATTTATATAATCGTTAGCTTTTTGATAAAAAAACGAAAATTTCAAATTCATTATGATATAAACTCTAGTGAGGTAAACTGTTAACTATTGAGTTTTTGATCAATCAAAGGAGCTGAAAGATATTTCCACATTGATGGGATAATAGGCTGTAACAGTGTTTTAAAAGGCTCTAGGCACACCGAGGCAAGGTGAGGCGCACAGCCCACCAAAGCAAGGCGCAAGTAGTAGAAGAAAAGCAAAATTATAAAATAGACGAACTTTTCAACATAACAAATATATATAGAATTAAGTTGTGCCTTGCGTATTGTGCCTCACCTCGACCTATTCGAAGTGCAAGGCTGTGCCTCGGTGCGCCTCGCGCCTAAGCGTGCCTTTTAAAACACTGAGCTGTAAGCAGTTTTTCTAGTTTGTTTGTTTGTTTGGTTTTTTTTTTTTTTTTCCCTTTACTTTTCAGATGGACGGGTTAGAAGCTAAGAAGCATGACACTATTAAGATGTCAAGTCTGTAAAAGACACCCCCCAACATGTGACGGACACGAATCCAGACATATCTTGTTGGCTTTGATTCTTGAATATTTTTAGACAGAGAGAAGCTTCAGAGACTGGGGGACAAGTGTCCATCTTCTTAGACACACAAGAAACACATCGTAAGTTTGAAGAAAATATTTTGAGAGCCAATAATTGAAACCCAAACAATGTGGATTTATACATTTTTTTGGTAAGATGATTTTTATTAACAACAAAAGAAAATTCATAAAATACAGCTCAAAACACATGCCTATAGACTCAACCCCAAGGCAATGCTCTCACAGAGAAATACACAAGTTCAACCTAGCCAAAATTAAATCCAATCACAGCCCAATTGGCTAGGCAAGGAAAGAAAATAAAATCTGCTATCACAAAACTAAACAATCATTTGACAGCATGCTAGAAAAACCCCATTACCTGCCACCCATAAAGATCCCACACACACTACCACACAGCATCATTCATAAACACATCCTAAACATGGTCATCATGATAAAATGAAACAAGAGTATAGGATGCAAAATAACTCTAGCAGCACCCAATCCTTTTAGCGCATGTAAAAACCAACACATTTACAAGCTCCCTGACAACAACAAAGCCCGCCAAACCTGAACAAGTTCAGCGGCACACAAATCGGTCCAAATAACTGGAGACCAGCTGCAATTCAATTAAAAAATCCCCAAGATAACTCTGGAAGATATCGCGTGTACACTCTAGTTAACATTTCTGGTCAAAGTCGAACAAGTACAGTACGCTCAGTCAACTACTCTCACCTAGACCTAGTTACACATGGTGGCAGGTCACCAGATTCCCCACTACCTACATTGAAATGGCCACAACAACTAAACAATCCAATCCAATCATCTCACTCCCCAGAAGGCTCCATTCAGCACTGCAGCTTCAAGACAAGTCTTTCCAAAGAAACTAATAAACAAAACAAATCAATTTGAAATCCAGAATATGAAGCACTTACTTGACCCATGGTTCAGAACTTTTATCTCAGAAGGATAGAACATTTCCCTTGCTACCGACTTTCTCCACAATCACAATATTGTCCACAATGTCATTCGCATTTACATTTTCTAAAATTTGATCAAGTGTTGGAATGTTATTTCCCACATTTTCACATCGTAAAATATTGTTCATTTCCTTTATAGACCAGCCCTCCACCTTTGATCTCTCTATTGGATGGGTTACAGATGGACAATGTTCCACACAAAATGTAATAGTGATCATTGCTCCAATCAAAGAGGTCAGCCTTCCTTTGTATAGAAGAGCTCTTGCAGCGATGATTTCCTCATTGATCTCTGAAATTCGAGATTTCGATCTGTGGGAACACGAGAAGTTGTACTGTCATGAGCACGTGGATTACTTGGACCCACATGCTCTGGTTGCGTCTACGTCCCTTACTCTGTTGTCTTGCAACTGGGAAGGAACAGGAGAGGCAGATCAACCATCGTGGCTAGCCCAACACCAAAACTTATTCCCAGCCCAAGCCCCAATACTTAGGGCAGCTACTGTTGCTATGGCTGTGCCTGTTGCTTCTCCATCCGCGGAGCTCTAACCTCAGCACGAGTAGCCCTTGTTGTTGCATCTTTTTGTGCTGGAATTTTAGCGGCTGACACAGTCTCACTTAGCCACACTGGTTCTTGATATTGCTACTCTGTTAGGGAGGTAGGAGAGTCGCTGAAGTGGGCGCGTGGATTACTTGGACCCACATGCTCTAGTTGTGTCTGCGTCCCCACAACTTTGTTGTCCTGCAGCTATGAAGGAACAGGAGAGGCAGATTGACCATTGCGGCTAGTCCCAGCACCAAAACTTCTTCCCAATCCAAGCCCCAATACATGGGCAGTTGTTGCTCTTGCTGTGGCCGTTGTTGCTTCCTCCGTGGATCTAACTTCAGCACGAGTAGCCTTTGTTGTTGCATCTTTTTGTTAAGAAATTTCAGCGGCTGATACAATCTCACTTAGATTACTTAGCCCCATTGGTTCTTGATGTTGCTGCTCTGTGAGGGAGGTAGGAGAGTCACTAAAGTGGCTGGGATAAGTTAACTCAAAAATATCTACACCCTCTGCGCACTGCTCTAGCTGCAGCGGCTGGTGCGGTTGCTACTTCCTACCTTGATATCTAACCTCAAGTCTCATCGCTCTGGCTATTGCATAGTGTTGCAATGTTCTTGGTATTGCGTCCCTTCTTTGGGGTGTCTCTGGTGGTAATGCTATGGGTATTGCAACCATTGTTCGACGGGGTACCTTTATTCTCAGATATATTTCATGTCTGCGGCCACTTTGCACCATGTAGAGTGAGTTGACATGATCAAGAAGTGCATTCATAACTCGTACAGTGATTTGCTGGCAATGATCAAGAAGTGCGTTTGTTCTCAAATGCATTCACTTGGTTTTCAAATATACAAACCTTACAAGTATCCACAAGGTTTTGTTCTAGGTTTTCAAGTAAAACTCTTTACACACCAATACCTGGTTCCATTAAGTTGCATCACTCGCACTATTAGGAGTCACTTAGTTCATTTTCATATCTTTCAAAATTTTAGTTTTGCTTTGTACGTCATTCTTTAAGATCTATTAATGGTTTCTTCTATTTTCACTTCATCCTATTTTAAGTATATATATTACACCTTGCAAAATTTGAACTCAACAGCCAGAAAGCCATCCACCATCCAAGAGCTCTACCCGTTCTTTACATGTAACCAAGTTCATGGTCTCAAAGAAGATAATATATCTTCCTTTTTATTAATCCTCTTTTAGGGTTTGGTCTCATTTCATATAAAAAGGGCGACTCAGTGCACGAGGCAACCTAGCATTTTTCATTTCTTTTTAAGGGTAAAAAATCACACTTCTAGGCTAGCCCTATATATAACAATAGACATACAACACCACCTCCACTTATACAACTACCTCAGTTTTATACATAGAATTTGATAACTTTTTCAATTTTTTTTCCTCCGTGATTTTCAAAACACACCCATGAAGTATCCACTTTCTAGTAGTTGAGGTACATAACTTTTGATACATAAATTTCATTATCATAACATTATTAAAATCAGCAAACAAGTAAACATGTTCTCTCTCTCTCTCTCTATATATATATATATACACATAGATACATGCATACGTTTTGTACAATAGCAATAATAAAGGTAAACAGACTAGCTGCCTAGAGATTGCATACACCTAACCATTTCATCCTGAAGTCAATGAGGTGGCTGATAGGAAAGTGACCATTGCAAGCAAATCGCCGTCCGAGCTATGAACACACTTCTTGATCATGTCAACCCATTCTACATGGTTCAAAGCGGCCGCAGACATGGAATATATTTGAAAACAAAGGCACCACATTGAACAATGGCTGCAATACCCATAGCATTACCACCAAAGGCACCCTAGAGAAGGGATGCAGTACCAAGAGCATTGCAACCAGATGCACTAGCGAGAGTACCCATAGCATTACCACCAAAGGCACCCTAGAGAAGGGATGCAGTACCAAGAGCATTGCAACCAGATGCACTAGCGAGAGCGATGAGACTTGAGGTCAGAAATCAAGGTAAGGAGCACCAACCGCACCAGCCGCTGCAGCTAAAGCTGGGCGTAGAGCTACCACAGCACGAGGCACTGCTACTGCCCCAGTCGCTATAGCCAGAGAAGGGTGCAGCGCTACTGCAACATGAGGCAGCATATCTACCGCACCAGCCGTTGCAGCTAGAGCAGGGCGCAGAAGGTGTATATATTTTTGAGTTAACTGATCTCGACCACTTCAGCGACTCTCCTACCTCCCTAATAGAGCAGCAACATCAAGAACTAGTGGGGCTAAGTAATCCAAGTGAGAGTATTAGCCGCTGATATTCTAGTACAGAAAGATGCAACAACAGGGGCTACTCGTGCTGAGGTTAGATCTCTGCGGATGAAGCAACGGATGAAGCAACAACAGGCATAGCCGCAACCCTAGCCACATCAGGCTGAGCCACAATAGTAGCAGCAGGAGCAGCAGTCCCAAGTATTGGGGCTTGGGCTGGGCAAAAGTTTTGGTGTTGGGGCAGATCGCGATGGTCGATCTGCCTCTCCTGCTTAGGGGGACGCAGATGCAGCCAGAGCACGTGAGTATCCACATGCCCACTTCAACGACTCTCCTACCTCCCTAACAAAGCAGCAACCTCAAGAACCAGTGGGGCTAAGTAATCCAAGTGAGACTATGTCAGGCGCTGAAATTCCATTACAAAAAGATGCAATAACAAGGGCTACTCGTGCTGAGGTTAGAGCTTCGTGGAGGGAGCAGCAATAGGCACAGCCACAACTACATCAGGCTGAGCCGTAGCAGCAGCAACAACAACAGTAACAACTGCCCCAAGTATTGGGGCTTGGGCTGGGAATAAGTTTTGGTGCTGGGGCTGGCCATGATGGTCAATCTACCTCTCTTGTTCCTTCCCAGCTGCAGGATAACAGAGTTGGGGGACGTAAATGCAAACAGAGCATGTGGGTCCAAGTAATCCACGTGCCCGTGCATCTGTCTGAATACAGGTCACCTATAACCAACTTGACTAATTTGTACAAAGAAATCCCTAGTCTATTCTCTTTACATTAGTAGGGATTGTAACAATGAGTTCATAAAGTATTGTGTCACATTGTTCATGTCTATCCTTGTTATTGAAGTTGAATTGCTATTTCTGTTTCTGAACTATAGCAATCTTTCTTCTTTATTCTTCTTTTTTTTGGTATACATTGATGATACATATAATTTGCTCCAGTAGCAGCTGCACTTGGTGGTGTCATCTTAGAATCTAGACCACATCTTGTCGATATAGTGACTGAGGTTTTTGCTTAGCTATTTGCCCCATTGGGACTAGGTTGGCATATCAATCAATGTTGGACAGTGTAGCTAAGGTCATTCATCGTTGCGTTGAAACAATTGGTACATGGTTTAGTTGTATAGGAGTCCAAGTACCTCTCTTGGCTTGATATTGTGCCCTTTGCTTGGTTGCTTAAGCATATTCAAGAGTTAAGAGAAACTTATTTTTAGTATTTTTTGTTCTTACGAGCAATTCATCTTAGGGGTAGAATTGTATTTTTCCTTAGCTACCACACCAAAGGTAGCTTTATTCACTATGTCAGTGGCAAGGGAGGCCAATTTGACCATTGATTTTTTTGTGGAAGAGGAATAAATTTTTGCTCATTTGGTGCATGTGTAAACATTCGGGCAGTGAATCATATATATATAAAGGCCCGAGAAAAGAATGGTTGAAGAGGAACAAAGCCGTGGCTTCATTTGTCAGGTTTAAATAACAAATCGTAAAGGCTAGGCTTGAAATTGTGAAGACCATTATAATTTTGCAAGTCCATTGTAGCGAAAGCTCTCTTTCACTAGCATATCACTATCATTTTAGGTGGCATATTTACATATTGGATTTTTTTAGGTTTATGTCAATCTTGGAAAATAATCGTGGTAGTTCGCAAAATGGGAATGGGGCATGCATACATAGGCCTTTGTGGCTAGAGTTTTCACTAATGAGTCAAGTCTAGTCATCAGCCGCACAACAAGACCCATAAAGGTAAAGACCAACAATTAGTAGCAACAACCACTGAGCCCACAAAAAATTGGCAAAAGGAAAACAAAACAATAAATGAAAGCAACAAAGAATGGACTCCTCCAAAACCATACTCACTCAAATATTCACCTTGAGCCTAAGAAGCACGGATACGAATACGGATGCGGATGCGGACATGGGAACATGGCATTTCAAAAAAATGGGGACACATGACTGGGACACAACAATAAAATATATTTTTATTTGTTATCTAGATTAATATTACATCCACAAACTATCAATATTAACAAAACTAACTCCAATTCTATATATATATTTAAAAACACTTTTAAATTAACACTTATAATTTATATATATATTTTTTTGCATGATCTATAGTATTTAAATCTAAGAAAAAAATAATAAATATTCAACATCCAAAATTTATCAAAAGCACTAAAGAAAATGGGAGAAAAGACAAGTTGGCATGTCCCTAGTGTGTCCTCAACATGTCCCCTAAAAATAAATTAATTAAATAAAGGGACATACGCGTCCCTACCGTGTCTGCATGTCGGACACGGCTACAACATTTGTTTTGAAGTTTCGGTGCTTCACAACGTTGAGCCATGATGGTGTCACGCTTGAGACAGAACCTTCAAAAGCTACCCATCACCACGGAAAAGGAGAAAAGATGTACTAAATGGAGGAGACTAACAATAAGTACTAAATGGAGGAGACTAACAATAAGCACTTCCAAAGAAAAGATAGGCCATAAATGGTTAGTAGATCAAAGCTAAGTAGACCAAGATTCAGAATTGTAATCTCACCCAAATAATAAGAACTGAGGATAGAAGAGACCATATAGATGAACAAAAACACCCTAAAATGACCAAAAAAATAAGCTTTAGGGTAAAACAAACCATCCCCAAAAATAAATCAAGAATTGGGGAAGCGGGCAAGGTGGGGGCTCTCCATAGCAAAAGATAGACAGTAATACATCCATTTTCCCCATGACAAACAGCCGTGAAAGAAGCTTTAGGGAGAGAAGCTCTCAACTCTAGACAGAGAAACCCCAAGTGGATTTATATCTATTAATCCTTCCTCCTTTAATTTTTTAGAAAATAAAATATAAATGTATTTGTGACATAGAAAATGAAGAAATTGTTATTATTTTCATGTACCTATACAAAAATATATATTTATTTGTTGCCATGTCCCTGTTGTTACGTATCCTTGTTTTTTTGAAATCATTGTATCATGTGTCCACGTGTTGTATGGGTGTCCTGTGTCCATAGTCATGCTTCTTAGATTGGAGGAGAATTAAGTGGGGGGAAAAGTTTCGGAGCATACATTATTTGTCACTAAAGAATCAAGTTTCAAATACATTACACTAATCAATACTGCATTCAAAGCCTAAATGAGTGGTCTAGCAGTCTCGAGTAGTGTTTTAAAAGGCGCGATTAGGCACATGCCTAAGCGCAAGGTGCAATGAGGCGCAACCTTGCGCTTTGAACAAGTCGAGGCGAGGCGTAATACGTAAGGCGTAGCTTAGGCGCTGAGACGAGGGCTTTTTTCAAGACATGGGCTTCATGAGCTTTACCTATTTTTTTACTCATATTGATGATTAAGTGCTTTTTTTGTGGGCATACTCAATATAAAATTACTAAACGTGGTCAAAAGAGAGCAGAAAGTGATAAAAGATTTAAAGTTATGCTTTATATCTTTTGTTGGATATTATATTTCTAGTTTTTAGAAGACTGAATGTTATATTTAAAGATTATTGGAAATGCTTATGATTTTTGAATTTGGGAAGAGAGTTGGGCTAAAATAGCCCACTAAAAGACAAAATAGACTAAAATAGCCAATAAGATAAAATGTCACATCTAATCCATAATCATTTCACTTTTTTTCTCACAACCATCAAATCAACTACAAAAAAAAAAAAAGAACAACCAACTTTCCAAATACAACTATTTTAGCCAGGCTAAAATAGCCAAAAAGCTAAATAACCAACTAAAATAGCCAACTTCCCAAACAAGGCCTATCTATATTTGTTATGTTGAAAAGTTTGCGTATTTTATAATTTTGCTCTTCTTCGACTACTTGCGCTTCGCTTTGGTGAGGCACGCGCCTCGCCTCCCGCCTCACGCTTAGGCTATAGGAAACCTTATCGCCTCGGTGCACCTAGATCCTTTTAAAACACTGTCAAGAATTCTGGATAAAGGGACTTGTTTTGGAGTAATTTTTTTTTATTGCTAGATCTATCTTTTACAGCTTTTCAGGCTTAGTTGCTGAATTACAGCTATTGCTGATTGATTCAATCTCAGTATCCCTTTTGAGTTTTTTCTTCAATCATGCATCACAGCTGCTTTAATACAGAACCTCAGGACAAGTTTTCACTAATTTAGTGCCCAACATATTAGATGATGAAGAAAGATTGTAATCAATAAAACCAATAACTGTCCTACGACCTGAAGTTTAAAATGAGTAGGATGATTACATAAATTTACCTTCATATGCATCTCGAACCATTTGATAGCTGACAAATCCTGAGAAAAGAGTAAGCTGCAACCACAAACTACCAATCTATTACGATGCTAGCCATTTTCCAAACACAAACGACTATTTTAGAAAAAGAAAAAAGAAAATATGAGCATTTTATGAAACCATGTAACCGATAATAAGATTTTAGAATTTCAAGTTGTGGCAAAAATGAAAAAGTAAATTCTGCTCCTAAACACTCAAAAGTTGTTTTTTGATTAAAATATTTATAAAAATAAGCCAATTTGGATCTCAACCAACCGTGCCTAAAAAAAAGAGGTTATATCAATCTATCTATTATTATTTCAAATATCTTGATGTCCAAGTTCCTCACATAGTATCACAGTCTCAGTTTCCCTGGTTTAGCCGTTGAAACAAATACTAAGAATGAGAATGGTGTATTAGAAATCCTCAATGACATTGTATCATAATAGAGGAACAAAGTGTGTTCCCTTTCTATTGAAATGGCCAAAATGTTCCCATTTCATAGAAACTATAATCTATAAAACTCTTAGATCACCAATTATCCCAAAAGCTTAAGCTGTTATGAAATGGACCCAACAATGTATATCAAGCTATACAACACCCTCTCTCATGTGCAACCCCATCATGCACGTGGCGATGCAAACATTCACACATCAGGAAAAGAAAGAATGCAAATGAAGACCAAATGAAAAACAGAGAGACTTGAACCCAAGATCTCTCCCAACTGGAGCTCTTATACCATGTAAGCTTAAAAGAAGAGAAAAACCCTAACCTGGAATTGAAACATACTGCAATGCATTGAAACTATCAAAACACACCAAAATAGTAAGCGTTTTTTTCTTCTTCTTTGGGTGGTGTGAAGCAAAGTTCTGCATCACCTAGGTACAAAGGGGATGTGTAATGCAAAAGTGTATGGCACCACTTGCTTTACAAGCTAGCTTTTAGAGTTGAGTTTTACCCAAGACTATGTCACATGGTATCGGAGTTGGATATAGTGTGAGGATGGACAGGGTGCATGTCCCAAACCCTGCACGCTAGGTTTGAGGGAGGGTGTGAAGCACGGGTGAAAGGGGGGGGGGCGGGGTGGCAGAGGGATGTTGCCCTTGCAAGTATTGAGAAACTTCATGTGAATATGCATGTGATGCAGTGATGTGCAGGTGTGTGTATATGTTTAGGCCCTGCAAAAAACTTTATGACCCTACAGAAATATAATTATCCCACATAGTATGGAAAAGAGTCAAATACATGACTAAGATCTTACAAAAGAACGGCCCCGTAAGTAATATTTGGTAATAACTTTTAATAAATTTTGTTAACGTGTGGTGTTAGAGCACGTGTTAAAATTTTAAAAATGTTATACATTTTGAATGAAATTACACACACTAAAGAATGCATAAATTTTTTAATCTTTCTAAACATGTGCTCTAAGGACTCACGTTAACAAAATGAAAATTTCAATTAGACCGTAGAAACTTTCTAGATTTAGATTTCATAATTGTATTTTTTTAAGTTTGATTACTTGGGAAATATATATATATATATTTAAGGCCCCGTTTGTTTTCAGAGGTAGAATGGAGGGGATTCATAGTGAGGGGATTAATAATGAAGGGATTAATAATGAGAGGATTGATAGTGAGGGGATTAAGTAAAATTGTGTTTGTTTTGATGATAGTTGTTAGTGTAGGAATTTTTAAATTATTTTTATCTAAAATAATAAAACAAATAAAAAAATATAAAAAATTAAACATTAATGTTTAAAAAAAAATTCCCAATATGTAAAAAATAAAAAAATTTATAATCTCCTCACTATTTTTCTAATACCACCTCCACTTCCACCTCCTCCATCCCAATCCCCCTTCCAACCTCCATCTTAATCCCCTCTTTCATCCTAATCCCTTTCCCAACTCTACAAATAAACACAACACTAAGGTCAAGTTTGGCATGAAGTCAAAAAGTCAAAAAGTTACTTAAAAAGTTAAAAAATTAGCACTATTAGTTAAAAAGTCAATAGTTCATACTAAAAAATTAAAAATTTTATTTTCTCTTTATTTTTCCCTACACATTAATTTATACAATTTTTTAATACACATTTTTTCATAAAAAATCAAAAAGTTAACCCAAACAACTATATTTTTTTCCTCAACTTTTTAGCTCAAAAAGTCAAAAAGTGTACTTATTTAGGACATCTCAAACAACCCCTAAATAACCCCACCTCCATCCTAATCCCCTCCCATCCATTACACTCCAAAACAAACGGGGCCTAAGAACAATATTATACATAATCTCATTTATTCCCTCAGTTTTCCATACAAAATAATGGGGTGCACATTTATAAATGAATATGAGACCCACTCACTTGTGTCTTGGAGTAAGAAAAGAAAGTAAAAAATAAGATTATATGTAGCATTTTTCAATATTTAAGTTTGAGACAATATTTTCTTATTTGGACCATTGTAAAAAATTAAAAAAAAAATAAATAAATAAAATTGTTGGCCAGTTAAAATTATTTTAATTTGCCATATAACACGATCTGTTTTATTCTTGACTTTGGAGACGTCAGATTCTTTCTCTCTCCCATATTTACAATCCTGGCTCCGCCCCTAGTGTGAAGGGAAGTCCTAAATCACCCGGGTACAAAGGGAATCTGCAATGTATAAGTGTGAGGCCAACCTTACTTCACAAGATAACTTTTGGGAGTGAGTTCTATCCAAGACTGTGTCACAATTTTGACACCCATTAACGAAAGTTGCTTCTATTTTCCTTTTTACGTTATAAAAAAATAAAAATAAAAATAAAAATAAAATTCAATTGAGAATATTAAATATTTTTGTTCTTATTTTCAATATATTTGTAAACCTCATTTAGTTGGACCCTTATCTATGTCTAGAATCACGCATACTTGTGTTTGATAACATTGATTTGTTTAACCTTGATTTAGAATTTTTCGTTCAATATAACATTAACATGTCCTTTATGTGAATTATATGACAATAAAAAATGCACCCAGTTAAGTTCCCCATTGGATTGGGGCCTCAGAGGGGGTAGAATAGATTTTAGTTTTTGTCTCCAGACATTTCCTTTGTGATTTTTTTAGATTTTTGCTTCTCTTATGTTTCAAAGTGTTTCTAATTCCAAGCTAACCAAAATGACACATTGAAATGAAATTTTAACGCTTGTGCAGTGTATATGAGCAAAATCCATTCATTTTCAGAGAATTAAGACGCAAATTTAATGAATATTCATCAGTAGGGAAACCGAAAATTTTAGACAACAAATATTAAAAAAGCTATAAGTTGGGTTAAACCCCATGTAAGTTGAGAAAGGTAATGTGAACAAAGCTGTGACTGACTACTGAGATATATATTCTATGGAGAGAGGGGACAACTGCTACTGAAACTATGTTATTTAGTCTATTAGTATCCGTTGCCCGTATTGACGTTCAATCATCGGTGCAATGGATTGCCCCAATTTTTGGAAGACAATAAATAGAAGATTCCAAGGCAAGACACTAGATTGGAATGTAGTACATTGTGGGTACTTGTATCAAGCTCAATACGTGGCAAGCCCCACAGATGCCACATCACCAAAACCCCACCCACGTGGCAGACCAATAAGGCACCACGTCGGGCATGTCGTATGTTTGATACATGGCGAGCCCTACGGGCGCCATGTGCTAAGGTAACCAAGACTATATGCTTAGCCTAAGCGGGAGCATATATACAAGCCCAAACATATCTAGATATGAAGAGTCCTGCAACAGGCAGCACCATGGCCCCGCAGAGCCCATGGTCCTTCATACCTCGCTCCGAGACCAAACAATACAATCAGCCCCCGGTTCACTTGGACTTGGACTGATAAACACTGGTCTCCTAAACATTGAAATAAGCTCCCCGCCCATTCTCCTACTTGGTCGCTTAGAAGCGAGCCCCTCTCCTAAACATTGTGATAAGCCCGCAGCCCATCCTCCTACTTGGTCGCCTGGAAGCGAGCCCTTGGCTCTCCTAAACACTAAGGTGGGCCCTAGCCCATTCACCTACTTGGATGCCTGGGTTGGGAGCAGGACCTTGGCACTACTGATCGGGATCATCAGAGGATACTGGACTGGCGGCTGAGGTCATGGGATCGTCGAGATAGTTGTCTTATTGCTAAGACAACTCCATCTCGACCAGGCTTGGAGAAGAGGCAACAATGACTTTACGTTCATGTCATCCAATGCATATATGAAACGTTACTTTCCGCTTGCCATGAAACGTTGCTCTCTGCCTGCCGTTGAGCCACAGACGGCAGAAGGGCTTATATCACTCCTGGCAGAGTTGAGGAGAACGAGCCACTTGTCCAACAGTTTGCTTGGGCTCCAATACTCCTGTGGCCTATATAACGTATCGTATATGCAACAAGAAACAACAACAATACAACCAAGTCTCATGCTTAAACACCCCCTTTCACTTCACATTAGTGTTCAAGTTCTATCACTGCCAACCTCTCCCTCTCCAAGCTTGCCTTGATCTCCTCCTCTCCACCTCTGGTGATCTCAGGCTATTGAAGTGCCCGCCATCTTCCCGGACTACCTCTAACCACACCTCTCACCCACATACATCTACTTAGTTTGTAACAAAGAGAGGGGGAAGGGGAAAAAAAAAAAAGAGAGAGAGAAAAAAGTACATTTAGATTTCAAGAAAAAAGAGAAAGAAATACTGTGATACAATTACACTAATGAATATATCAAACCTTTGTTTTGTTTGTCTGTTCAGAACCAGTGTCCGTTCTCAAAGATGATATATCACTAGAACTGCAATCTTGTGCTGGCTTTTCACTAGGAAATGCTGCCCCACCATCTGCATTTAGAAGTACACAGTAGCAGTGATCTGTATCTGTCAATACCTGTCAAATAAAAATTCCAGATGATAAATGAAAAAATGCATGAATGAGTACTTAATTCAAACATGTAAATATATAGATTTCAATCTTGAGCTCATTTCTTTGTACCCTTGAAAGGAGACACTTGAATAACTTAGGACTCATGTCTTCATAATGAATATAAAAACTTTGTGGTTAGTAAAATGAACCAAATAAATGTGATGGACTCCCAACAAATTTTTAAAAGGAAAAGGCCTTAAATATGCCAGATCGGCCACAATCAGAAGAGCATAGAAGTTATAAAACCTCTTTGTCATGACATCCACTAGTTCAAGTGGTATGAAATCCTTTATATTTTTCCTTTTATTTCATATTCTCTTTTAGAATTTGCATATCAATAACCTATGAAGCATGGATACTCCAAAATGGGCAGTGTATGAGTATCGGATATGGATACGCGTCCAATACGTTGAGATATGTATTGGATACGGCAAAAGAGTAACCAATTTTTTTATTTTTTTTGAATTTCGGATACGTTTTAGATACGCAAGGATACATTAGAAATACGTTCCCGATACTTTTGGGATACGGTGGAGCAAAAAAGGTGAAATTTTTTGTGGGTCAAAATGTAAATAATGCAAACTTAAATTAAAAAACACAAATCAATCAAATCCCTCAATCCATATACAAATCATAAACCAGAAAATAGGTAAAAAAGACCCTAACCTATCCTTCTTCTTTCTCGGTCATCGAAGAAAAGAAGCAAATTTGGCAAGGAAGGAAGCAAATCTATTAAGGAAGGAAGAATTTTAGTCGCCCAATCTCGTCTCCATCTCAATTGACCACAACGAACACCGTCTATCTCACTCTTCTCACTCTCTCTCTCTCTGAATAACTTTCTCATCTCAGCTTAATTATCAAAAAAAAAAAAAAAAAAAAAAAAAAAAAAAAAAGAAAAAAAGACTTTCTCATCTCAGCTTGAGATCTCAGGGAAAACTGGTCCGAAGGAAACTCCATCAACATCTACCACACGAAAAACTCAAAGATGGAAGTTAAAATGTTCATTTCAAAGCCCTACAAATTTATTAAATTGTTCTAATTGATTTGGGAAAATATTACCAATTGATTTGGGAATATGTTACTAAGCCCACAAGCCAACACATTACAAATTTATTTTCTTTGCACACACGTTAGAGAAGATCTTGCCATTCAATTCAAGAACAAGTTGTCAAATCCTTGAGTCAAAATTCTTGAATAGAAAAACCAGAAGATCATTCTCTTGTACAAGTCCTCCAGAGATTGCACTTGTTTTTCTTTAAATTAATATATTCAAAATTGTCATTCTATTTTTCTGTTTATTTTGTAGACAAGAAAAATTTGAGAAATGGAGTAAGGTTGCGTAAATCTTGCTCTCCCTAAAACCTACTCTAATAGGAGCCTTATGTACTAGGTTGCCATTTTTTTATTTTGCAGACAAAAAATTTGTGTGTAGACATGCTATGGTTCAACTCACATTTTTCTTATTTGATAACTAAGAACTATGGTTCAGCTCAAACCCCAGCACATAAACAATATATCATCTTTATGCACAACATATCAAAATTTTGAAAGGCCTTACCGAGGCTCACCTCAAGGTGAGGCTGTGGCAAAATGCATCAAGACTTCGATTTTGGTTATTCTCCCCAAAGGCTTGTGCATCACAGTTTGAGGCATGCGCCTTGTACTCCTTTTACGCATAATCACATGAGGAATATGCATATGAAGAGCTTGTCTTAGGCTCTTTTTAACTTAGTCTAGTAGATGTTTTAAATAATATATACTTAGTCTAGTAGATGGTTTAAACTGTTAAGTTACCAATTTTCCCAAAAGCCTAAGCTGATTGGAAATGGGACCAACAATGTATATCAAGCTATTTAACACCCCTCCTCATATGCAATCCCGTCTTGAACATGGAGAGACAAACATAGAACCAAACAGAACAAGAACCAACCAACCAAATAAAGAGGAAAAAACCCAAACGGGTACACAATACCAAATGCTAACGGAGAGACTTGAACCCAAGACCTCTCTCAACCAGATCTCTGATACCATGTAAAGTAATCAATTTTCCCAAAAGCCTAAGTTGTTAGGAATGGGCCCAACAATGTGTTTCAAGCTACGTAACATAAACAATATATATATATACTTTACAACTATATTTCATAGGAAAAATTAAGTAGATAACCAATCAAGAAAAAATACATAGTTAATGCTCAAGTGAGAAGCTCGATCACTAAAGCTAAGAATGTCGATTTACTTTCAATGAGAGCAATCTTCCTTCTCTGCATTGCAACTTCCAACATCTTGAGAAGAAAAATATTTACACATTCATATTTAATTTTTTTCCAATTTTTTAAAATATTTAATTTATTTACTAAATAAAATTTAAAATTCAAAATGCATACACCTCGACATCTCAAGGCTTACACACTTTGCCTCACGATGGGTAAAACACCTGATGTTACACATTTGCCTTAAAATTTTTGCAAAAGATGCACCAACGAAACAAATTTTAAACATAAATTCTATTTGTCTTGCCTCCTTGTAATCTCTTTGAGTACTAAAGAGACCTAACATTCTTCCACAACACAACCCTATCCCGCCTCAATAAAATATTTATAAATAAAAATAAAAAGGAAATATTAATTTCATAAAGTAGATATGAGAAGAAAATCAAAGTTGTCTGCTATAGGCCGTCTATTCAACCAGGGTATGTTGCATATCATTAGACCATGCAGGGTGATATAGTTTACAAAAGATGACACTGTTTGGTTCAGCCGTTAATCTCTGCTCAAGAGAAGTGCTTCCATTCTCTTCAACATGTGCAAATGAGAATTTCATGTAGACCTTGGTTCCTTCTATTTAATGGACTAGAATAGACTTGCATGAAACAGTGTTAATACTCTAAAAATCATCCTCTGGTGAAGCCATCAAGGTTCTAATTGATACAACTTTAGATGCACAATGAGAAGAACAAACACATAGGAAGCTAAAAGCACCATATACCACAATCTTCTATCATTGCATATAATGGATAAACATATTACCACTGCATCAAAAGTAGAATCAAAGTCATCAACTGCAAAACATATGTCTGGATACGCAGGTGTTGTTTCTACTTCCTGGATACATCGCATTTACTGTGTCAGATTAAAAACAAGAAGAAATTAAAACATATACAAGGAATCCTGGTCTTGTTAATACCAGAAACTTACCTTTGTCGAGTCCAAATGAAAATCAACTCGACTTGGTGATGCATAAACAGTCTTTACAACCTAAGAGATAAAGCCATGGAACATCCTTAAAACAATGCCTTAAACGCACTGAGATTAGCTTTCAAGTTTATCAAGAAATTCAAAGAAAACAATGTGACATAGACAATGATGGAGTTGACGTTGCTAGACATTGGATGTAGTGATAAAATGGTAAAAAAAAATAAAAATAAAAATAAACTAAAAGATGATAACATGTTCATGTTTTTCATTTTAATTTATATTATTTTTTTACAGATGGACAGAGGACTCATGGAGTAGTATATGGGCATGAATGAAGACAAAAATCCATTGTGTGTTTGGATGTTTGCATTTTGCTTCAATAATCGTAAAGTGGACAATCGTATATGTTTTGTATCTTAAATATTGGTACCAATTTGGACTTTCTTTTTGTTTAATGCATTCATATTAATATTTTGGATAGTTAAATCAAATGTGTACAGGCTACGGTTTTAGTTCAATTAAAAAGACTTTGTTTTGTAAAAGTAACAAAATCTGTTAAATAAGGGTAATAAACTGATACAGAAGAAGCGTGAGAACAAAAAGGATGATAGGCAGTACAAATTTGGAAATTTTTTAAAAGATATTTTATTTTCAGGATGATCCGTCACACTACTAAATCACATAGACATTGATATATTGTCAATTTGTCATAGTTAGTATTAGTACTTTTCCTTGCAGAAGAAATCCACAAGCAACATCCACAAGATATGAACAATATATTTCCTTTTTTTAATTTCTTCTTTATTTCCTTAGGGGGTGTTGGGAGGTTAAATAGATGGCATGATTGAAAGTCAAGATTTGATCAGACACCCGCTCCTCACCCTTACAGTTGACTGCTTCTAGGACTTGAAGTACTCGAAAGTTTGAAACTCCCCTGATGAGGTGCAATCTAGGTACCACTGAGTCACAAAGCCTGCAACTCAAACAAATTTTTTCCTACAGCAAGACCACTCTCTCTGGCTATGTTGGCAAAAGAAAGATCAAAACTGCAACTCAAGCTCATCTTTCTTTTCTTTCTTTCTTTCTTTCTTTTTTTTAAAATAATAATATTTCCAATTAAATATTCCCGGTTATAAATTTATAGGGCTTCATTTAAAAGATCTTTATAAGGCTTGCTCCTTGCAAAGATTTTTTTGGTCAATAAATGCTAAAACAGCATCAATGCATGCAGAGAATGCAATCAAACTTTATTCATCATGACGTAATCTCACAAATCTAAACAGATTAGTGTTCAGATCAAATAACATGTTTGTAACCTATTACTAAGTACAGCATGTAAAAAAAAGAGTAAACTGTAAAAGGGATTTATTAATAATAGTATGGGGGCGAGCAAGGGATTGGAGTTTGGCTACAATGAAAATAAAATTCAGCTCCTATAGGATCTTATATCTTGATTGTAGAAACCCCAGCCATGTATACGAACCACAGAAAGGAGGCATGCACATTGCATCTTACAAGTCAATCACAAAAAACTTCTTCAAGCTACAAAAACCGAGTATTAATGGAGAAGACTTAAACAAGCTCGATGACAGATTCCTCTCCAATTTAAGTTACAAATGGTCCCTCTAGTCTAGGCCTCTTTATCAATAATGTACATTCTTTGAAAAATTTGCTAGATGATGGAGTGGATAGATGCTCATTTCATAGGCATTGCAAATAGTCCATGGACCACAAAGATGAAAGAGGCTACAAATAGTGCCAATCAGGAGTAGTGAAGTTGCACAGCACTTATAAACACTTTGGAGAGAATTTAAACTATATTCTAAGAGAAGTTACTGAACTTAAAAACATTAAATTATAGAACATTTATGTATCCCGCTCTTACTCTTTATTAACTTGTGATTAGTTGTAGAAAGATGACTGAAAGGTTTTGTTGTATAAAGATGTTTAACCAGCTGCATAAATGAGGACGAATGTCAATCCATACACAAATGCTATAAAGCACCGACACTTCAAAACAAGTGTCATATCCGTGTTGGACACACGGACACTTCGGGGACACGTATCTTGCCAAGTTTTCTTTTCCCACATTTTATTTGAGTGATTTTGATGAATGTTAAATGTCTATTTTTTTTTCTTAAATTTAAATACTTAATAGATCATCCATAAAAAAAAGATATAAGTGTTAATTTAAAAGTGTTTTTTTTCTTTTTTTTTTTTATAAAAAAAAAATATAGAATTTGAGTTAGTTTTTGTTAATATTGATTGTTTGTGGATGTAATATTAATCTAGATAGCAAATAAAAATATATGACAACATATTTTATTGCCGTATCTCCGCCATGTCCATGTCCCTATTTTTTTAAAATCGCCATGTCCCGTGTCTATATCCGTGTCCGCATCCATATCCGTGTCTGTGTTTCTTAGCACAAATGTAATCAGTGTGTCATCATTTTAGTTGTAGCTTTCTTCTTGTGTAGCCTAGATTTCCTGCTACACGTTGGAGCAAATGATTCACACTAACAGAAGCTTTTTTATTTTATTTTTTCTTATGATGGTAACAAAAGCTTGTTTATACAGATTGAATACATTTGTAAACACTAGAAAACAAAATGTTGAGAGATTGCTCAATATACACACTTTCTTTTTATTTTTGTTTTTGGTCTTGACACATACACACACACTTCTCATATCGGGTAACTTTAGACATCTTTTTTAAGGATAAAAATTTTAAGTTAATTGCAGATACCTTGTATATAGAAGACAATGGTGCATCTTCGCCAGACTGGTGATTTCTAAGGACCTGATGACTAGAAAAAATAATGAAATTTAGAAGAATAAGAAAATGGAAACTATTGCACAAGAAAAAAAAAAAAAAAATAGAGACAACCCTTAATCATAAAGTTCTGCAGCACAAGCAATCTTTCTGATGACGCAAAATAAGCAAACTGGAATCAGCATGCCAAGACACCAGAAATGAAGCAAGTTTAGCATCATCTTCCACAGAATCCTAGATGTTTATGATTATTCAGCATCCTTCTCATCAATCAAAAATACCATTGACTGAGACATGAATTTTTTCCACAAGGATTCTAAACCCTCAAACCAAAACCAAAGGAACGGTCATGACAAAATTCTCTATATTTTAAAAGATTCCCAACTTTAACTGCACCTACCTCTTCCATTTAAGAATGAAGGTAAACAAAAATACACATCAAAAGAAAAAAAATGTGTTTGTACCTCTGTTATCAGAATCTTACGATTCACGATTCGATTCACGATTTGATACGCAATTTTTGCAAAATCGATACGAATCTATGAATGAATCTATTTTGGAAGTGAATCTCTAGTGAATCGCACGATTCACAATCGATTCACGATTCGATTCACTTTTTACGATTGATGCAATTTTTGAAATTATTGTGTTCGACATATTTTCGACTCATTTTTTCAATCTTTTTAGTGAAAATGACATAATACAACTTCTAATAGTATTTAATACCAAAATAACCAACATATATATATGATTTGTTATTATTTTAGTGATCATGGAGTTTTTTATAGGATTCAATCAGATTCAGTCAGATCTAACATATTTTTAACCTTTCTTCTCATTTTTGTCCCCTTCAAAAAATTGTAATATATCTTCTAAAGATGTTTAAGATTAGAGTTACACTATGAAAAAAAAAAAAAATGAGAAAAGGCTTTTGTAGTCGGAACAATTACATGATGCAACCAAAAAAGAAAAGGAGACTTACCTGCAAATTGCTACAGTTACACTGAACGAAGTGTGAGCAATCAAGTTCAAGTAAAATGAGCGCCTCCAATCCACATCTACTGAATTCTTATCGACTAAATCATTAAACTGGTAGAAACGAATATAAGGTCATGGTCTTAAATGAACAGTCAAAATATCCAGACAATTAATATAAAGTTTGCTCTTTCATTGCAGATATATAAGGAAGACAAAATGTTACATGGTTTTAAATGTCCTAAAAGTTCCATTAATTAATCTCATTTTCAGAGTGGCATAAATTCAATCCAAAACCAAACATTTTCTTTTGCTAACTAGAAGTTCAATATCAAAGCTAGCAATATAATCATCACGCAAGGCTGTCATTTAAAATTTTATTTCCAGATTGATGCACTATTTTCAACCAACTTATCAAGTAAAAAAAAAAATAAAAAATAAAAAATAAATTATTAAATACTATAATAAAAAAATTTGAAAAATATAAAACCAAAGGTGCAGAAAGCAGACATACAAGCACTAAGAGCTTATAATATTTGAGTAAGGAACTAGGCAGATGAGAGACAGCTGACATCATAGAATAATAAAGAGATTTACCTATAAATTATAAACTTTGTTACTAATCAAGGTATCACTATAATTAAAAGAAATCCTAAGCTTTAGGCCAACTGTAATTTTTCAAAATGAACTAAAATGCAAACAAAATCTAAAAACATGAATTTTCCATTGAAAATTAGTAGAGGTTTGAATAAAAGGAATAAGAGAAGAAGTAAGGGAAGAAAAGAGCATAAAACAAATTAGGGGTTTGGTCTGAGAGATCATTGACTCATCCCAATACCCATATTTATAAAATATAATTTCGTCAAATTAGTACTCTTCACCCTAAAACAATAATGAAATTAGCAAGATAAAACTCCTTTCAAGTTGGAGCATAGATATCTCTCATGGCCAACTTGCAAACAATGGGGTGAAACTGTGAAAGACTTTACTTCTAAATCCTTTGATGAATATATTGCCATGAGATCTTCACATTGGCATCTACAAACATGGCACCGCATGTCAACCTTATAAGGTGGTATGCAAGCCTATGATGCAACTCCATATGCTCCCATTTGGGGTCAAGCCACATCAACCAAGGATAGCACACAGTGCCATAGCTCTAGGCTTAAGGAGATGAGACACCTGTCACATGGCATATAGCACCCCCCAATTTGGCTAAGGATTCTCTACTTGAGTGTACTGCCTCTCTCATGCTCAACATGCTCAAAGTCCCCTCAGTCTAGGCAAGCAGCCAGACCAAGTGTGTTCCAACTCCAAAATTGTGTGCTCTCCCTTCAAACAAGCGCCTTCTCCATAATGCGTGCTCAGTCTACTTGGCTCGCATAAATAGCCCCACCGAGACACCCTGATCTCATTTATACTTAGTTCCAAGAATGAAATCCTAATAACAACTATCTACACTGGGAGCAAGCTCTAGCTACCTCCGACCGAGACCACTAGAGAACTTGTGGCTTGGAGGTTAGAGTTAAGGAATTGTCAGGGTTGCTTAGCCTGCCTCTCTCGGGGCAGCCCTGCCTTCACCAGTCCTAGAGAGAGATGGAAAAGCACAAGAAGACAAGCTATTGACTAAGACATCACACCTAATAAGGAAACTCTCCTAATGCAGTCCCCAAACTTAACATACCTACCCTCTGGTATCTTATGATACAACCCTCAAGGCCTAATCATGGTGCATAAGGTAGTTGAAAAACCTCCTGATTGCCAAACCAAAGAGGTTGAGCCATCAATCAAGGACTGAGCTGTCCCCTGGCTTGACCATCCTATATAAGGGAACTTTCTCCATGCATGCAGAGCAACCTATCATCATCATCTTTTTTATCTTCGACAAGAAGAAAATATTTCCATCTGCTGCCACTCCTCTCTCTCCTTGACAACCTTAGCAGCTTAGATTCAACCAAAATTTTTTTATTTCCTCCCCCTCCAATGTCCACTGAGTCATCTCAGTGCCCATTATCTTCCCAAAAGGTCCCACCAAGTCACATTAACTCCAACACCCATGTGAGAAATAATTGACTCATCCCAGTACCTATGTATTTGTATCAAATAATAATCCCAAAATTAAAATAGTACGCTTCGTCGTAAAACAAAATAATAAAACTAACGAGAAAACAAATTTAAATCCCATTTGTCCTCAACTAAGTGCTTAACTTGTAATTAAATATATGAACCAACATTTCAGATGTTAAATAAAATTAGCAATGTACTTCTCTATACATCCTAATTATATATGGGATATATAAATTGCAACAATGACCTAGAATACATCATTAGATATACTAACAAGGTTCTAAAATTAGACTAAGAGGGGCAGTATTAGACTTGTTGTCTGTATAAACGTGAAGATTTTCATTTCAAGTGATAGTGAGAAGATTGAGAAGAACAAAAGAACTTCCTCTGAAACTTAGAGCAATGTCAAAACAGACATTATTGCATTCAAAGCATGACAAAAAGAACAATCAGATGTGGAGTGAAGCTAGAAACCAATTGAAGATTAGTAATTAAAAATGGCACATCAACATGTAACAAGAACATCAAACATTATTGGTACTCATTAATCCAGGGTGCTAGGAGGGGTAAGATAGAAGACAAACCTAACCTCTGCTATTATTAGGCAAAGAATTCTCACACTTGGCAAATAAGCACATATTATCATTTTCATTATTAAAGGCACTTTTCTGGTGGTTTGATTTCATTTAATATCCTGTGGTTTCTTAAACAATAATATAAAAAATGCATCATCTCTATTTATAACCCAAATATCATGTTATAATGGTACTTAGGGTTGCAAATGAATCGAGTTGTCGTGAATAACACTGACCTTCAAATGAGCCAAGCCTGATCACTATGTAACATAGACATAGATATGAGATACAAACACTACAAAGACACGACACAAATATGTTGATGCAAGAAATCTATAAAAAAAATAAAAATAAAAAAAAGACACAACATGACAACATGTTAATATGTTGTGAATATTTTGTGTATCTTTCATAAGAAAAACATGTAATATAATTTACTATTTGTATATTTCTACTTAAAATTGCAAATAGTATTTCCAAAAATATTAAATATATTGCATACTCTAATTGCTTGCTTTCTTACTGCCTTAGTTTATTAATGTATTCTTTAGTGTCAAAGTGATCCATCACATACTTCACTTCATGTTGTTCATGAATGTCAAACACTGTCATATTCAAATATTCACCAAACAGGCCATGCCCAAAAGGGTCTGAAAAGTGTCATCGAAGTTTCCAAAATTACAGATTTTTTATTTTTTTAAATAGGGCACATTGAAGAAGTATCACACACGTTTTAAAGATTTACAGAGAAGTGTCAGTGTCTAACATGGACACAACTCTTCCCTAGAAGTGTCCATGCTACTTAGTTTGAGCATGATTTTCAAACTTGATAATCAAATGAGTTTAGGTTAGTTATGGTTGGCTCCTTTAATTAGTCAATAGCATGTCCCCAGATTAATGGCATCAAGCCATTTAATGTTATTAATACTTTTAAGAACTGTGGCTGACATATAATATCTTCACTATTAGTATTTCATGGTAATATAAAATCTTTGATAAAATTACTCCCTCCATCCCAAATTGACGCCATAAAAATATATTATTTTTAAGTTCTCATTTTCCTTGTCAAACAAACAATTTGGGATGGAGGGAGTAATAAGTATGGAAATAAGTCCTAGATGCTAGTAGAATACCAAAAGCTGTTGTTTTTGCGTTTCTTCATTAGTGAACTTCTTGGGCACTGGTTCACTTGCATTGTTTCCTGTCATCTCCTTATTTATTTGTTAATTCATGTATTTCCTCTTAATATAGTTTAAATTCACAAGATCTAATGCTTTTCTGGTCCAATTTTTGTTAAAATTCATAAAAGACGCATACAAGGTTTCCTTGGGTATAGGGTTAGTTGATTTCTCATATGTTATCTTCGTTTTTCTTCTTTAATGTAAATGAGCTATATCAAACCAACCTTAGGTTCACTTGAACAAAGGTGAAAGTGAGCTTAAACCAAGTTTAAGCCAAGCTTACCCATTTTCCTTCAAGCTCAAACACCATTCCACTTGTGCTGAGCAAAGCCCAAACAACTAAATATTTGGATAGTCCCTGCTCATTTGAGCCCACAATGAAACTTGTTTTTGTCTCACCTAAGAGAGAGAGAGACTTTACCTAACATCAAATTCCTTTAGAACTAGAAAAAACCAAAATTTTTATTGAAGTTTCAAACAGTGGATAACAAAAGGATTTTCTATATATGTTTATACATGGAGCACAAGATCAAAAGTAGTTGCTCGGATCAAAGCTTGTAGTTCCAATGCTTTCATTTGCAGACAACTGTTTTAAGTAAATATAGGTCCATGTGCAACACAAGCCCAGCTCCCATTTTCTATTCATGTCATTCTGTGAAGCATTCTTGTTGGCACCATAAATTAACTTCTCTTCAAGTGATGGATTGTAGGAAAAGTTTGGGATAGGGAATCTAAAGAGAATAATAGTCGAATTGAACAAGTACCCACAAACAAAGTAAGTACAGTCAAGTTCCATTATCAACAATAAAGCTTAGGCCTCGTTTGGGAACAGGCTAATTTAGTAACTTTTTGGCTTTTTAGCTAAGATATGAGCTAAAAAAAACTAGTATGTTTGGGATAACTTTTTGGCTTTTTACGAAAAGATGTGCAAAAAGTAGAAAGAAAAGAGAATCTTTGACTTTTTGGTATGGGTTGTTGGCTTTTTGGTTTTTTTAGTGACTTTTTGACTTTTTGGCTAAAAAAGCCACTTGCCAAACGAGGCCTTAGTGATGTTACTCAACACATGATGCTGAAAAGTAACAAAAACGGGAATCAATTGGATGAAATCCTTTCCGCTTGTCTCATATTGATGACGTCCAACAAATTAAATAATTGGCAGTAGAATGAAGTGCAAGCCCCATTCAAATAAAACATCTTTGAATATAAGAGATTAGAGAAGAACCATGCAGTTAAGAAAATAACAAATTTTGAGATTTTGCAGTACTTGCCAAGTTTTTTAGATATCCATTATTTATAAATCTAATAGTGAAACACCTTAAGCATTCAAACCATAGTTACTCAAACCATGGGGAAAAAAGGTTAGGTTAGTTTCTTTCAAAAGTTAGTTTGCAAATTAATCCATGAGGAATTGGTCGTCTTGAGTTACATGTACTTTATGCAGCCTTAGTGAGAACATTTTGGCAACCCATTCTTTCTATGCCAAATTACCTACTTCTCCCTGTGCTTTCAGTAAGAGGGCCATAATAAGGCTATTGTGGGTATCCTATTTCTCCATGTATTTTCAATGAGAGAACTATAACAATTTATGTACTAGGAAGCAATTTATGAAAAACATATCTCATTGTGATACCTACTTTGAGAAGACATATATGCATTTTGAGTCATGCAAGGCTAGTGTCATGCACACACCACGAGAGAAATAAAAAAGAGGGATAATATTGCAATTTAATTAGACTACGAAGAATTCTAAAACATGTATACAATCATATCCTGTAAGTAGTTAAGCAATTAATACAGGAGTTCATTCCAGCATACAGGGTAACCCTTGAATTAGTATACATGCTGCTGTTACCTTAGGTGCCCACCTGCGCACAAAGTAAGGAGAGTTGCCTTCCATATTATCACTGAAACCATGTCCATGCAAGCTCTGGAACAACATAATTCAATCAAGGATAGGCAAAAAAGTCATTTTACAGTGAAACAACGTGCCGAAAAGAAAGAAGGGCATACCATTTTCCGAACAAAGAATACAAGGTCATCATCCTGGCGACCCCTCGACTCCCTACCACAAATGAAATACAAATCCATGACGTCATGCCAAAAGCGTGGATCTGTTTCAACATCTGAAGCATCTTCATCATCTACATTGGTCTTCCCTAACAACTTTGAGTGCTTCTTCACCATACTCAACAGCTCATACCTGTCAAACCAACAGTTCGCCCAAAAAAAAAATATTACAAAAATAAAAAAATCAAAACATATAGAATAGAAATAAGACCATCAAAATCATCCCTGAGCTGAACTTCCACATTCGAATTCAAAGTTGAACAATTATTCAACAGAATGTTTTCTGAACATAGTAAACCTACAGAGATCAAGTTAATCTTTTTTTTTTTTTTTGAAACTAAACAAGGAAATTAGGGTTAATAGTAAAGCGCATTGCATGGAGGATCAATTTAATCATAGACACAATTGTTGGCATAATCAAATTTATGAATGCAATAAGTTGAACAATATCGATTTAGTGCCTAATAGTTATTCAATTGATTTCGAATTCAATGTAATAAACCGTCATTTGATTGAAAGACCAAAATTGCAATTCACATACGAAATTAAACTGAATGAAATCGAGAACGAATCGAAATGAATTGGTAGACTACCTAGTAGGAGTTTCTTCTCTATCACCGAACATGTCTACTTGGCCTCTTGCTCCTCTTTCTTTCCAATTCAATATTGGGGGGTTTCAGTGATCAAAATCTCCAATTTTAGTGTTTAAAAGCCCAAGAACTGACGAGAAAGACGACAAAGGTTTCTGCTAGGCCAACCGTCAGACCCTTGGAAGGGGAGTTTTTTTTTTTTTTTTTTTAATATTCAAAAAAAAATTAATTTAAAGAATTGACCAACTTTTTAAATTATTTAGGAAATTAACATACTTTTTAAAATCACATTTTTAAAATGCGATTTTAAATTAAAATTGCGTTTTTAACATGTAATTTTAACTTGAAATTGCATGTTGAAAATGTAATTTTATGATGACATACACTATTGTCGTGGCAAATTGAAATTGTATTTTCAACATACGATTTCAAATGAAATTGTATCTTCAACATGCGATTTCATCAGTCATGCAATTTCAATTGTTAGGTACTCGTGACTTGTGTTTGAAATTGTTAGTTACAACATAGCTACTTCAAGTTGCTATAAATATATACTAGTATGTGAAAACTAACTTAGTTGTATCCACAGATTGTTATAAGATTATATATAATAATTCACTATGAGATACATTGTCAGTGACTTATATACCGCAGTAGGTCGCCATTGGGTTTCAAATAATGATTTTGAATATCTATTAAACCCTAATCTTCGTTACACAATGGCCACTGTGAATACCATGAGAGCAGAGTGGCAATATCAGTCTACTTAGACGAATATTCTTTAGGTGTTGTGTGAAGAAAAAGAATATTCGAATTCCTCGTAGGAGGTCGAAGAACATGTCCATTGATACTCCACAATTGCTACAAAGAGCGCTACACAACATTCGTGAAGAAGTTAACAGAATGTCGATGCGTTTAAATCGTTATCACTTTTGTCAACTCACAATTGAGCGCGTTGAACATGGGTTAATGCATGAAGCATAATTTTACTTGAATGCAAGTACGGAGGAACAAGTATTATTCGATGTTGAGATGTCAAATGAGGAATACAAATAATAAAATTCCTTTGTAATAATCCTTCAGTCGAGTTATAATATTTTGAATATAATCGTAACTATTCTATCTGTATGTTATGAAATCTTTTTATATTATTTTATGAGTTTCAATATATGTCTACATAATGTTCGTATAACTTAAAGCCATAGTATTTGATCGATATTGACTCCATATATTTAATAAAATTTTATATTACATAAACAACTTAAAGTACTAAATACTTAATATAGGGATTAAACACATAATATAGCACTAAAAAAAAAAGTACATCAACATACACAATAACAATTTAGAAATGACATAACAAACAAACATTTTCTTAAATAGAAGTTGTCTAATTCTTCATTCTTCATCTGACATGTAGTAGTCGAAGAGATATTTTTCGTTGTTTAGGACATTGTTGCGCTCGATTTTAGTCAATTGTTAATTGCTTGCCTCTGCTATTTTGGTGGCCAATTGAAGCATGAAATGTCGACATCTCCACATCAACATTCTATTGTTCTCATTTTTTATTTTGTTAAGCGTTTTTTCTTAGTTGCCCACATTTTGTCTAGACATGGTTAATGAACGACGATGAGGTACTTTTGCCCCTAAATTACATAAATCATTAAATAATCTCTCTTGCTCTGCTACCCTAAAAGGCCATTCTGCTCGAATACCAGCATAATAATCCTTTGGACTTGAGTATGTTTTGCTCTTATATTCATAAGTGAATGGAGATAATAGCCAAGTGAATGATGACATGAACTGCCTGAGCTTTTGGAAGACAATGTTGATATAGAATATTAGACTCAAGATATACAACTAATGTTATGTTTTCATATATCATAGTTAGGGTAGCGCTATTTATAGACACATATAAGAGATTAATATTTAGTGGCTCATTTGAAATCTTATGTTGAAAATACAATTTCAATTGTTACACTTTTATATTTCTTTTATAGGGAAATTAAATAATAAAAGAAAAACCCCTTACAATTTGATATTGATAAGAATTCAATGTTACCAATGAAGTCACATATTGATAATATGATTTCAGAGTTTCAGGCAGAATTATCATGAAGATTCAATTTCACACAAAACTACTACATACAGTGTACTTTGAAATCACTGAAGCAATTCACGGGTAACAATTGTAAAGCAACAAGTTAGCTTTGCAAACAGTGTATTTTAAAGTCTCTGGTGTAAGTTAGGGGGATGTCCTGAAATCGCATGTTGAAAATACAATTTCAATTGAAGTACCATGTTTAAAATGCAACTTCACTTGAAATTGCATTTTCAAAATGTGATTTCACCTACTAGGTAATATCAATTGTTAGCTACTCATGACTTGCTACAATGATTCCAAAGTATGGTGTTTGCAATTGTTAGTTACCCATGACTTGTTTCTTGTTGTCTATATAAAACATATATACTCATTGAATCATAACAACTTAATTTACATATAACTATATCCAAGTTCCATACATATGGATACAAATAGTTATCGTAAACAATCACCCAATCTAGATTATGCAGATGGCTACTTGATTCTTTCAGAGATCGACGTTGTTACATGGATAGGTTCCCGCTATATAGTTTAGAACGTTTGCGGGACTACGATTGTACTCCTTTCAAAAATAAATACATGGCTAGATATGCAGGAGTTTCAACTGCCTTGTTTGCAGAACGAGTCAAATATGAACACCATTCTACCGTAGTTCTGACTTAAATATTGAAATCAGATTCTCAACATATGACTTCATTGGTAATATGTAAGATTCTTGTCAATGTCAAATCATGAGGGTTTTTCTTTTATTATTTAATTTCACTGTAAAAGAAATATAAAAATGTTAAAAAAAAAATATGTATGTGTAATTTTTATTTATATGGCATTTTTTATGTTAGTTTAAATCTCATTTTGAACATGCAAGATCATTGCGAAATTGGATTTTGAACATGTAATTTCAATTCTCCCCTGTGACTTACTACAACAATTTCAAATTACACTTATTAATAGCTTTGCGTGAAACTGAATCTTTATGGTAGTCATTCTGATCTATTTTGACTCAAACCTTCAAATTAGATTTTCAACATGGGAACAAATAGTACACTATTTGTATTAGGTGAAATGAAATTTTCGTGATAGCCATTTTATTATAGTTCTGACCTAAACACTGAAATCAGATGCTCAATAGTGACTTCATTGGTAATATGCAAGATTCTTGTCAATATCAAATCATGAGAGTTTTTCTTTTACTATTTAATTTCTTTGTAAAAGAAATAGAAAATGTAAAAAAAAAAATTATGTATGCGTAATTTTTATTTATATGAAATTTTTTATGCCAGTTTAAATCTCATTTTGAACATGCAAGATCATTGTGAAATTGGATTTTGAACATGCGATTCAATTTTCACCCATGACTTACTACACCAATTTCAAATTACACTTATCAATAGCTTTGCGTGAAACTGAATCTTTATGGCAATCATTCTGACCTAGTTCTGACTCAAACCTTCAAATTAGATACTTTATATATGAACAAATAGTACACACTATTTATATTACTTGAAATTAAATTTTCGTGATAGCTATTCTGCTCTAATTCTGAGTTAAATACTGAAATTAGATTTCCAACATATGACTTCATTGGTAACATCCAAGATTCTTATCAATGTCAAATCGTAAGGATTTTTCTTTTATTACTTATATAACTCTCCAAAACAATGGTGAACCAAAACATGCCAAACTCAAACTCTTCAGCTATTTAATTTTCCATAATTTCAACATTTTCCTTCTACCAACACTGTATTTCAACATTTCAAGAGACAAAACTTTCACGAATCTTTTTCATGAACATTACATTGGTAGAATATTCATTTAACGAAAAATCATTTATTTTTATTTTTTGTATATATATATATATATTTATTTTTTGTATACATTCTTCAATAATGTTTTGTGTTCGATGATTTTATTTTTATTTTTATTTTTAATTTTTAATTTTTAATTTTTTTCAGTTTCAATGGCAGGAAAACGATACAATCTTGCAATATACTATAATAGTGGAATAATTAATGATGAGTGTGGAATTGCATATGAGGATCTTGATCCAAAATGGGTACGAGTTAATCGAAATATTTCGTTTATCGATTTTTGCAATCATTTAATCAATGCTACAAGGATAGACCACAATGGTGGGAATGTCCTGATTATATATATATTTCCATCTAGAAGTTACCTCATGCTGTCTATTACAAATTACTTGAGATCACAGATGACGATGGTGTCGAGGGTATATCTGATATAATTGACTCAACTCCTGCTTACAACATTGCCAAGTTATATATCACTGTGGAATCCATCAATGTTTTTCTTTATACAAATGTTAATGTTAATGTGCAAGTAGGTGCAAGTGAATAGACACCCATGGATGTGTATTTCTCAATTAATACACATGACCATCACTTCGAGCCTACTTACTTTGCATTAACCGATCATGACTCCTATGGTGATCATTTGGAACCTACTTATCGGCGTTGACTCTGATGGGGTAGAAGATATTCAACCACGGTCCACCAATGAATTGTGTACAACAACCACATATACTGTACAAGAAATGATTGCAAATGACATCCACATCCCATTGGTTGATGGTTTAGACCTTGAAGACGACGATGCTGATGACGGAGTTGGTTTATCAACTAAAGGGGGACAGATTGACATACCTACTTTTCATCAAGCCCCATCTCCAATGTTTACTAAGGATACATGGTCAAATGTTGATGATCCCTCCATACCGTTGGCAGTTGATGTCACTGGTATATGGGATACAACAAAGGAGTTAAGCAAAAGGATAGTATTTCAAAACAAGGAAGACTTGCAAATTGCAGTAAACCGTTATAACATGATAAGAAACACTTACCATGTAGTGGTGGAGTCAACAATAGACTTGTGGAAATTGCATTGCAAAAATGGGTGCGAGTGGAAGCTATAGCGATCCCAGTTGTCCCTTTACTGTTCTGTTGTATTCCGGACTCGGTTCCGTGAAGTTGGTAGTTGTATCTATCTTGTTGTCATCCTTTAATTCCGCTTGATTGAGTTTTAGGATGTATTGGGCAGAGTTGTTACAGGTTGGTT